AAAGGACTAAATAGGCCCTGGGTTGCTGTTTTACAAGCACAAGACTGTTAATCTCCTTACCGTGGATACAACAGCACGTTGTTCCTTTTTAGATCTCAAGATTCATCCTTGAATAATTAGGCAGAGGAAGAAATCCATTATATATCCTACACCATTTAACTCAGAAAAAGAAAACCCTGCCTGAGCTAGACCTCTGCCTCTCTTGCTAAAAATGATAGATTACCTAAAAGCCGATATTTGAGTAAACTAAGCAGATGAATTTCCTAGTTGACCTGAGAAATTGTCAGGGGCTATAGATAAATAAGAAGGAATAAGTGAGAGTATTTCCCAGTTGACCTGGGAAATGGAGTAAACTTTAATTATAGCTTCCTTAGAAATTACTTTCAATATTTTAAAATCCTTGTGCCATCATTTTAGTAGATCTGGCCTAAATCTTATAATAATTAGTTGAACCCCCTCCCCCACCACCAATTTTTCAACCAACAACTGCAGAGTTGACCTTTTCTGTGTAAGTCCCAAGAAAACCTCAAGTAGAATAACCTATAGATATTAGAGCCCTCTTCTACCAACTAAGGTTTTTCATCTATCTTCCATTCTACTTTTGTTGTTTTTGTTTTTGTTTTTGTTTTTGTTTTGAGACAGAGTCTCGCTCTTGTCACCCAGGCTGGAGTGCAGAGGTGTGGTCTTGGCTCACCGCAACCTCAGCTTCCCAGGTTCAGGCAATTCTCCTGCCTCAGCCTCCTGAGTAGCTGGGATTACAGGTGCATGCCAGCACGCCCGGCTAATTTCTATATTTTTAGTAGGGATAAGGTTTCACCATGTTGGCCAGGCTGGTCTCAAACTTTTGACCTCAGGTGATCCACCCACCTCGGCCTCTGAAAGTGCTGGTATTATAGGCATGAGCCATTGTGCCTGGCCTATCTTCCATTCTACTTTTAAGGAAAACCAGCAAATAACATGAAAACCATTTAATATAAATACTTGTAAATAATCACTTCAAAAGAAGTGCCTTGTTGCTGTCACATTTAGTCCATCTTTATATAATTCTTTTCTGGGCCAGTTTGCTGGGCATGAGACGTGTAGTTACACAAGCCTGTGCCCTTAAGACGGCCCTACTCTTGGTTTAATGTTCTGCTGTCGTAGTCTTGAAATTCTTAATGGTTTAACAAGGGGTCCTCCATTTTCATTTTGCACTGGGCCCTGCAAATTACATAGCACATCCTGATTTCTACAACTGTAGAATAACACAATGGGAATTCCATGTGAATTAATAATACGTGACACTCATTGCTTTTTCTATATACTTCCAAGTACTTCACATAAATTATTTCATTCCATTCAATGGTAAAATTGGTAGATTCTTAACTTTTAATGAAAGACAAAATCAGATTAACTCTAAGGACTAAAAAATATATATAACATTACATTTAAAAATTTTTCAAAAACATAATTTGTTGTGGAAATGAATTATTGTCATGAGGTATCCCCCACTAGATGGACTTCCTGTAGGGACCCTGCTCTCCTGTAGGGGTAAGCAAGCTTTTCTGAAGGGCCAGGTGCCAAGTATTGCAGGCTTTGTCTGTCAGAAGTACTCAACTCTGCTGTCCTTAGCAAGAGCACAGCCTGTAAGCAATAGATATTCAAATGACTAAGTGTATTGCAATGACACTTGGTGTGTGGACACTGAAATTGGGATTGCAGATAATTTTCAGGCATCACAGATATTTCCAATTTTCCAACTATTTAAAAATGTAAAAAATCACTGTTAGCTTCTGATCTGTATAAAAGCAGGCAGCAGGCTGGATTTGCCCCAGAGGCCATGGTTTGCCGACTGCTGCTGATCTTAGCCCTCATTTGACTCTCAGTGCCCAGCCCATTGCAGGCTTTCAGGAGAGGTCGCTTGATTCAGTGGCTCCAGCCACAGCAATGTAGTTCCACACACCTACCTCGTGGACCTCAGTGGAGGAGGTTGGTGTTGCTCACACTGTTCCCTTTGGGCACTCTGTCAGCTCCTTCTTTCTCTCCTCTTGACAGCATCTGGGGCAGATGGCGTGACTTTCCTGTCACCTACAGCTGCTCTCCTTCCAGCAGTTCTGGCCAGAGCAGGGGCCTGAGTTGCGGGCTCCAGCCATTTCCTCCGGGCTCCACTCCCTCCCTGCCTGTGCTCCCCTCACCGATGCTTCATTCTCCTCACTTAGGGACAGGGAAGCAAGATGATGGAGGTGTGAGATAGACAAGGAAAGGCCAAATTCTTCTTCCCGAACCAGGGCCCTTGTGGTTCCCCCCGCTGTGAGGGGTCCTCTGTGGTGGTGGGCGTCCAGATACTCTCCACTTAGAATGCTCCTGTGGGGTCTTCAGGAGCCACTCAGGGGACCTCTGCACTGCATCTTCCCCTGACATGGGTGACGTGCTCTGACCGACTTCCTCCACCCCACCTCAGCTCTGCCTCCAGGGGTGTACACCTCCAGCCTCACTCTGCTGCCTTGTCTTGCTCTGTCTCACTTAGGGACTTGGGCCCAACGAGCAATGACTCCATCCTGTTCCCTTCCAAAGCCTCTGCTTGGCCCCAAGAAAGTATTCAAGTACAGACTGCTCAGAAAGCTGCCTTTTCTCTCCCCAGTCACAGGGACTCAAGCCAGCCTTCCACCGTGAGACTTCAACTAAGAGGCAGCTGCCAGCTTCAGAGTATCTTCGAGTTGTCTGAAATAATCATAGAATAAGGAATGAGAAAAAAATAAACAGTCAATGTCTAAGACCCCTGAATTCATCTTTAGAAAGGATAATTCTACTGTGTTAGCTTCCTTCCTATGGCTGCCATAACAAATACCACAGACTAAATGGCCTAAACAACAGAAGTTAATTTTCTCATAGTCTGGATGCTAGAAGTCCAAGATTAAGGTAGCAGAGTTGGTTTCTTCTGAAGCCTCTCTTTTTGGCCTGTAGTACCTGTTCTCTCCCTACTTTCATGTGATCTTCTTCTGTGCACATCTGTGTCCTAGCCTCCTTTTCTTAAAAAGTCAATAGTCAGATTGGATTAACGCTCACTCTTATGACCTCATTTTCCCTTAATTAACCTTTTGAAGACCTTATCTCCAAATATAGTCATATTTTAAGGTACTGGGGTTTGGAACTTCAATATATGAATTTGGGAGGGTGGAGGACAAGATTCAGCCCATAATAGCTACCCTCCAGAATTTATAATTCACTCAGTCTCACATTGGAACCAAAAGACTTCTGGAAGGCAGATTTAAAAACTAACCCATTTGCCAAGCCAGTGATGTTTTCCATCTACCCACCACACTGGAGAGAGATAGTCTCTTTGCAAAGTTATTTTAAATCCCATCTTGCATTATGTGGTGCCCTTTCCCATAGGAAAATGGTATTCATGTAGGAGTGCAGCATCCTTTATGTCAGTGCATGTAAAATCCAGCCCAGCACCTGAATTGCATCTTAAACACATCTGCTTCATTAAGCTGGCTTCATCACTTATCACCCTGACAGCCAGTATTGCTTGAACACATACTGCCTGGCAGCAAGATGAGCAAGTCCTTCCATGCAGGATGCCTGGCCAAGAACCAACTCTTCCTGCCTGGAATATGTTTCCCCTGGCAGTCTCCTTCTTGTTAATCCAGTCCCAGCTTAAATGGCACTTCCTCAGAGAGGCCTTCTTCTGACCACCCAAGGTAAAGAAGTCCCCCCATCCCACCCTATCATATCATATCATTATCATGGTAGTTAGTACTTCTTTTCCTTTGTAACATGTATTTACCATCAATCTCTCCATGGGTCTACAGATACCATGAAGAGCATTTCCTAAGGACACTCACAGTTGTCATTTGTGTTGTTCCAATTTTGGCTTGGGAAATTTTGTGCACCAAAGGCCTAACAGCCGTCATTTATGTCACAGTGACATAAATGATGGCTGCTACTTTTTCGTGCAACCACACACAAGTAAAGGTGCAAGTATGTAGGCAGTGGTGGCCCCAGGGGATGGTTTGGGAGAATTTAGCCCACGGTAAGTTCCATGAGTATTTCTCTCATAGCCACTCCATATAAATGTGAGATCTCGGTGAAAGGGGAGCTTCCTGCCAAAATGTAGTTTCAACACAAGTCCCGTATAATCTCTCCACCTGTCAACAAAGAAAATCTGAAGCCACCACTGTCTGTGAGGATAAGCATTCTCATTGACTACTGAAAACTAGAAGGAATATCTCATATGTCATTAATGGCTATTTTGCTCATAGGATGGATTTTTTTTAGGATGGATTTTTTTTTTTAAGACAGGGTTTTTCTATGTCGCCCAGGCTGGAGTGCAGTGATGTGAACATAGGTCATTGCTCCCTTGAACTCCTGGCTCAAGTGATTCTCCCAACTCAGCCTCCCAAGTAGGTGGGACAACAGGTGCACACCACCCTGCCCAGTTAATTTTTTTAATGTTTTGTAGAGACGGGGTCTCACTTTGTACTCAGACTGGTAATGAATTATTGGTTTCAAGTGATCCTCCTGCCTCAGCCTCCCAAAGTATTGGGATTACAGGTGTGAGCCACTGTGCCCAGCCAGGATGGATTTCAAACTAATTTACATTGCAGTGAAACAACTCCCTTGGGCATGAAGGAAGAACTGGCTTTAAATTTCTCCTTGAACTATCTGTAGTAACTTCAGACAGGAAAAGGAAAACTTGGTGAAATACAAATAAAATCCAAATTCTCACTTCGGTGAAGAATTAGAGGATTCTCTTTCCTCAAAGTTACTTTCATAAATATAAGGAAAAATAAGTTTGGGTTTCACTCTCCCCTTGGTTCCTTTCCCTGTTTAAGTAACAGACAGAAAGACCTCAAATCTACAAACTTGTAAATCAAGAAAGGCTATTGTTGATTAGGGGTTGGTACATGCTGTTTAGATAGGGAAGGCTTATTAACACAATGTGGAGATGATGGATGAGCCTGTTCAAGTGTAGATAGCAATGATAAGCTCAATGCAGCAGATAAAAATGTAGATCCTACCTCCAAGGATTGCATCTGGAGAGTGGATAGTATTCTGTCAGCTTTGGAAAATGGATGGAAAGCAAATCTTGCAGACGTACCCATTCCATTCCCAGGTTGCTCTGTAGCTGGTGGTTGGAAGAAACTCTGCAACAATGTTCAATCCCTGGACAGGAAAACCTTTCAGGATTCTTCTTTAACATGGGTCTGAGAAGAAGAGAAATATAATATTTTTTTAAATGAAGATGCTAGCCACCTCTCACCAAAACACATATTTAAATTGTTTTTCGGATCTTGAGGATGATTTAACCTGACCTGTCCTTTCATTGATTCCTCTTAAAACTGAGAGCTTGAGCTGACCGGATAGGGGTCCAGTTTTGTTCAAAGAAGAAAGCTCCAAGCTATTTAGATCAGAACAGGATTGATGTAGTTCTAGATTGGATTGGTATCCTGCCAGTGGAACCAACTTATCTTGAGCAAGTGTGAAAAGACTGAAAGCTTCTGCATTGAAATACGTAGCATATTTCTCCTAGGGCATTCAAAACACTTCAGAGAAAGAGCTTCCATGCATAAGTGAGATTGAGCACATATACTAATGAGAAGGTGTACAACTTGCAAGGGGATAAGGAAAGAGATAATAACTCCCAACATATGTATACTCTGTGACCCCAATTTCTACTCCTAAGTATATGCCCAAGAAAAAGAAAACATACAGAAAAAAACATGTATAAGAATGTCCATAGCAGTTTAGCTACCTGTTGTGCAAATATCTGACACATAATAGGTGCTCAATAAATGTGTAAAATTGAACATCTCTTTATATCCCACATATGGCTTCACAGACCACGTGACACATACTAGTTGTATCATCAGTTCATATTTCTAGCATGTGCTATAAATACCTTAATAAAAATCATTTTATTAACAATTTTCATTTTAGTCTATTATTGCTTTAATAAAATGTTAGAATGAGGACTTTAGGAATGATTTACTCAAGCTTAAGATAATGATGCAGAAGGGCCCAGTCATAAAGAAAGTGTTATTAGGAAGCCTTTTTTTTTTTTTTTTTTGAGACGGAGTTTCGCTCATGTTACCCAGACTGGAGTGCAATGGCACAATCTCGGCTCACCGCAACCTCCGCCTCCTGGGTTCAGGCAATTCTCCTGCCTCAGCCACCTGAGTAGCTGGGATTACAGGCACGTGCCACCATGCCCAGCTAATTTTTTTTTGTACCTTTAGTAGAGACGAGGTTTCACCATGTTGACCAGGATGGTCTCGATCTCTTGACCTAGTGATCCACCCGCCTTGGCCTCCCAAAGTGCTGGGATTACAGGCGTGAGCCACCGCGCCCGGCCCACAATTTTTTTTAAATGAACACTCAAGTTCTTACTATTTTAGTTCCCAGAACTGCTCTGTCTCACTCTAAAAACATTTTCTTGCAAAGGGATTGGTTTTGATCACCCCCAAAATCTGGTAGCAGTGAAAATCAAAGTTAATGCTATAGAACAGTGTTGTCCAATGGAGCATTCTGTGATGATGGAAATGTTCTGTGTCTGTGCTGTCCAGTATGGCAGCCTCTACACATAGATGGCTATTGAGCACTTGAAAGAGTAGCAATCATGACAAAATGTGTCAAACAGAGCCCAGCGAGTCCTAATATTTCATGCAACTGGAATGAACAGAAAACAGATCTACAACTAAATGATTCCAAATTATTCCTGAAAGTTTACCCTCTGTCATTTTAGGTGATTTAATATTTTGTTTTGAAACTCGTAAAAAAGTCACAGGCTCAAATTTCAACACATCTGCAAATTTAGAGAAATAAGTCCTTTAAGTCAAAGATGCACTCAAACAACAGAAAACTGGTTTGTTTTTGTTTATGTTTTTTTCTTTTTGCTTGGAACAGAGCTGGATGCAAAGTTAGTTAGGTTTTTCATTGCTGTTTTGACAATGGTTACTGTCCAGCCTTTTCTCTTACTGGTCCATGTTAATGTATTTTTAAGTTTCAAGACTAGCTATGTGGTTGACAGTTCCGCCTCAATAGCAGTTACTGGCCAGGCACGATGACTGCTGCCTGTAATCCCAGCACTTTGGGAGGCCGATGCAGATGGATCACTTGAGGTCAGGAGTTTGAAACCAGCCTGGCCAAGATGGTGAAAACTCATTTCCACTAAAAACACAAAAGTTAGCCGAGTGTGGTGGTGGGTGTCTGTAATCCCAGCTACTTGGGAGGTTTAGGCAGGAGAATTGCTTGAACCCGATCTCGCCACTGCACTCCACCCTGGGCCACAGAGTGAAACTTCGTCTCAAAAATATATATAAATAAATAATGAATAGGAGTTACCCAGGAAAAGAGGTCACAGCGTCCTTTTGGAATAGAAAACAAAAGGCAAATGGAAAAGGAAGTAAAATGCACTCTGCACTTAAAGCTGCCTGAGCCATTCTGTGACCCAGATTAAAATATCAGAAAAAGAACAAAGCCATCACCTGAAAGGGTTAATGATTAACACCCATGATTTGGGTTAATATTTTCAAAGAAGTTGCCTGTCTCATGTCGGTTATTTATGGAAATCTACAGATTAGTTGTTTTTTCCAGACTATACCTCAAAAGAATGTTTCTTCATCTGACTCAAAGGTGGAATCCTCCCCTGACCCCTTCTGCGATTCTCTGGTTAGGTGCATGGTGGGAAGAATTGAGTCCTGTCCAGAGATTTTCTTGGCATGCACTTTCTACCTTTTCGAGGTTAAGACACCTGGTTCATAGACAGGCTATCTATCCTCATTCAGGAAACAAACGTGACTCCTTTCTCTCTCTGGTAAACAAAGGGTGCCCTTCCTGTCAAGGGCCTCACCTGACTCTCACCACAGCAGGTGAACATCCCAGGAGAGCTATGGAGCTCCCACTTTCAACACGGGAATGACTGTGTTCAGCCCTGAGGTCTGACGCTTGAGTTAAATCCAACTTAGTGATGCAGAGCAGCACTGTCCGAGGGACATTCTGTGGCGATGGGAAGGTTCTATATCTGTGCTATCCAGTATGGCAGCCACTAGAGGTAAGGGGCCATTGAGCACTGGAAATGGAGCTAGTGTTGCTGAGAAAGGGAATTTTTCTTTAATCCAACTTAAGCAGGCACACGGGCTACTGAGTAGTACTCTGATCAGTACAGCAATACAACAGTAATTCAGAGCTACCCACCCTGCAGTAGCTTCACTGGGTTGTTTCTCTAATCCTCAGGCAACACTTCATAATTGCTATTATCACATGGGAGGGAACTCAGGCTCCAGCGTCGAAGACATTGGCAGCAATGGGATGAGTGGGATGGGTGTCACTTTACCAGCTAGGTGGACTTATACTTGAACCCTGTCTCCACCACAACCAACTGCTCTGCGTCTCCAGTCATCATTGCTCAACACTGAAATCGACCAAATACCACACGGTCTCACTGGTAAGTGGGAGCTAAACATTGAGTACACATGGACACAAAGAAGGGACAACAGAAAAAGGGACCTACTTAAGGATAAAGGGTAGGAGGAGGGAGAGGATCGAAAAACTACCTATCAAATACTATGCTTATTATCTGGGTGACAAAATAATCTGTACACCAAACTCCCGTGACACACAATTCATCTATATAACAAACCTCCACATGTTCCCCGAAACTAAAAGTTAAAAAACACCCTGAAGTTGCAACGAAACCTCAGAGATGCTCTAAGAATTAAGATAATGAGTGTCAAAGAATCTTTCCACTGGCGGGCATTGCACAGATGCCAATCGACGCCCCACCCAGAGGTTGATGTCAGGGCTTTCCTCTCTACCGTGCTGCCTCTTTATAAATTCAGTCAGTCCCAAATTCCACCCTGTTCCTGGAAAATTATGAATGGCAGAATGAGATTGGGTGACCCTGGCGTTAAATAGAAATATGGATTTTCAAAGCAACAATGGGGAAAATATCAACAATGAGATTTCTGCAGCACTTTGAGAAACACATCATTTGTCCCTCCTTGTAAGGGTGGTATTTTATTGTAAAGGACCCGTTTCTGTCAACTAAAACCAGCTGAGGAAGCTTTTTCTCATCTCCTTCACCTTGGTTGCAAGGACATGGAGTCAGGAAAAGCTATACTAAAGGGAGAGGCAGCCACAAGTCAGCCCAGCCATTCTAGCAGTGTCACTCTATTAGATGCGATGGAAATTTCCAGAAGGAAGAGCTCACCTAGCTAACCCCTGAAAGAAAACAAAGGCAGGCTAGATGAAGTCATCTTGGGAAATGTTAAACGAGATAAAGTCATCACTGGAAGGAAAAGTCAATATACCTAGAGATAGAGATTGTAACAAAGCATTTTATTTGCATCAAGGAAGAAAGCTATGTGAAGGACATAGAAATCTGCTTCAGCTTCTCTTTAGCCTTACACTACATAAAAGCATCAAGTGGCTCTTTTGGCTTTTACTTAGTCATCTATGTAACTAGGTGGAAGACAGTAAAACACTGAGTCTTAGTGTAAGTCATTCATTCGAGAAGACAATCTCTTTTGAATTATGGCTTCTCAATGTTTGTTGTATCATCTTTTTAAAAGAGCAACAGAAATTCTTTTTAGAAAGTACAAAGAAGCACAAGGAGAAACGTAAAAATCACCTGTAATTCCACCAGCGTCAATGAATGACCAATGTTAATGTTTTCCAAATATTTGGAACATACCTTTCTTTTGTATGTATGTGTGTAAATACACGTACATTTCTTCTTAAAAACAAAACTGGGATCGTGCTATTATACAGCTTTGTCATCCTTTTTTGTTGAACTTAACTGTGTTTTGTTTTTGTTGTGTTGTTGTTGTTTTTATAGAGACAGGATCTTGCTCTGTTGCACAGGCTGGAGTGCAGTGGCACCATCATAGCTCAGTGCAGCCTCAACCTCCCGGATTCAAGCAACCCTCCTACCTCAGCCGCCCGCCATCCCCCCACCCTGTAGCTGGGAGTATCGGCACATGCCACCGTGCCCTGCTAATTTTAAATTTGTTTTTTGAGTAGATGGGGTCTTGCTTATATTGCCCAGTCTGGTCTCAAATTCCTGGGCTCAAGCAATCCACCTGTCTTGGCCTTCTAAAGTGCTGGAATTATAGGTCTGAGCACTGCATCTGGTCCACAGTGTTACTTTGAGTGTAT